GTCTCTCTCAGGTTAAATTAAAATTAAAAAATAAATAAAAAAAGTTAAATAAAAAATTCTTTAAAAAAAAAAAAAAAAACCCTACTACTGGGGCCAGCAGGTGACATGGGGGTTAAGGTGGGTGCTGGACTTCCACATGGTCAAGCATGGTTCGAATCCTGAACCTGAAGGCTTGCTTTCTCCCTCTCCCTCTCTCTCTCTCTCTGCTCAAACTGAAGAATAATAATAAATTAATTAACTTAAATAAATAATTATAAAAAACTACTACTAATAATAAGTAAAATTAGGTAATTATTTTTAAGATAAATAAATAAAAATGAAAATTTGAGGAACCAGCAGTTAGCGTAATGGCTATGTCGCTGGATGCCCACGTAGTCGACTGCAGTTCGCGTCCTGGACCTGGTGGCTTAAACTCACGCCGGGCATGTGTGCGTGCATGCCCAAGATCCTAAGAGGAGAATGGAGGAGAAGGGATTGCGGTGTGGCCCTCCTCCCTGGGGGGTGATTTCTCGCTTTCTGTCTCTCTGTCTCTCTCTCTGTCTGTCTGGCGAGCATACGCGCCCTATAGCGAAAACCTCTCCAAAAAAAAAAAAAGAACTTGAAGCCCTAAGTGCTTTTCCTGTACTCACTCATCTGACTGTGGGCAGCAGGCACTGCTTTTTTTTCAGGATTATTTATTTCATTTTATTTATCATTATCTTTTTGTTTTAAAGAGAGAATTTTGCTATAGGGCACATATAGTCCCTAGAGAGACAGAGAAATAGAAAGCGCAAAATCACCCCCCAGGGAGGAGGGCCACACCGCAATCCCATCTTCTGCCATTCTTTTGGATCTTGGGCATGCACACACACTGCCTCAAACTGCGATCCACTACATGAGTCCAGCGACGTAACCATTACACCATCTGCTGGTCCCAATTATCATTATTTTTAAAATTTGTTACAACGCACATACACTCATGAGAGAGAGAGAGGGAGAAAGCAAGCCACCAGGTCCAGGATTTGAACTGCAGCCGGCCATATGGGAGTCCAGCACCTTAACCACCATACCACCTGCCAGCTCCAGCAGGTACTACTTTAGGTCATTGCTCAAAGGGGAACATCTGCACGACTCCAAAGATTTTCAAGTCATCGGGTCTGGGACTCGAACTCCAGTCCGCCATGTGGGAGTCCAGTGTTGCACCCCTACACCACCTGTTGGCCCCTACATTTACATCTCTAAAACTGAGAAGTGGCAACCAGGGAGTGGCAACAGACTGGATGTCTTTTCTGACCTGGGAAGATCAAGAAGGTGCAGGGGTCCGTCTTAGCACTCCTGAAATACGGCCTCATTCCCATTTTACAGAGCAGGGAAGTGAGGCGCGAGATGGCGGGCCCCTGCCCAGCCTGCTGCTGATCAGAAGCAGTGGCTGGAGGCCCCAGCCGCCCTGGCTGCCCGTCCCACCACTTACCACATGATCCAGGAGACCAGCACCATGGTGGCGTCGTTGAAGGCGTTGAAGAAGCAGATGAGCAGCTCCCCTTTGGGCCCCAGCTTGCGCAGGGCCACGCCTAAGATGATGGCAAACACCACGAGGCCCAGGATGTTCATGCCCTCCACCTCCTGTCCCAGGACCACCTTTGGGCAAGGAACAGATGAGGCACACGATCACCAAGGGCCCATCTGGGCACTGCTCAGGCCCTTTGCCCCAGGCGCACAGCCCAGGTCCAGGGAAACAGACACATCACCGGATGCACGGGGGAGCACAGCAGTGTGGGAACCGAGAGGGAGTGCCAGCTGGGGGAGAGGGAGAATCAGGGAGGGCTTCTTGGAAAAGGAGACATCTGAGCTGAGACCTGTAGGACAAGAGGAGTGAACAGGGAACAAGGAATGATGGAAGGTTCTAGAGAGCACAGAAGAGTCAACAACCTAGAAGCGAGCATGACTCGGAAAGAAATTCACCGTGGAGAGAGCAGAACGAACCGGGCCGTCACAGATGGGGCTGTAACGTGGGCAGGTGGGCAGGGCAGATCTCACAGGGATGAGGGCCAGGAGCCCGGGCTTTGTCCTGAGGGGACCAGGAAAATGGGAGGGTTTGGGGCCATGGAGAGGTAAGGGGCCGACTTCCGCTTTGTAAAGCCACCTCTGGCTGCCAGGCTGAGTGTGGGCGGGAGGGGGCAGGCCTGGGGAGAGTGAGATGGATAGGGGGAGGGGACAGAGGGAGACAGGGGACTCAACGGAGATAGTCAGAAGGCAGAGAAGAGAAACAGGGAAGGACTACAGAGTTTTTTGGGGGGGGTTTAAGAATGATTTCATTGTATTTATCATTCTTTTCATTTGCTACAGGGTACACATACTCACCAGAGAGAGAGAGAGAGAGAGAGGGAGAGAGGGGGCAAGTGAGAAAGCAAGCCACCAGGTCCGGGACTAGAACCATGATTAGTCATGTGGGAGTCCAGCACCTCAACCACCACCCCACCTGCTGGCCCAGGACGGCAGAGTTTAAACCAAATTCCACTCGAACATGTTAGAAGACTCGGAGCGCGGACAGAGGCTAGCAGAAGCAAAACTGAAAAGCAGCCCCGGCGCCCTCTGCTCACCTTCACCTTGGTTCCGTTGACATGTATGTGTTCGTAGGAGGTGGAGTACTACAGGGAGCAGGGAGAAAGAGTCTGCTGTCAGCAAGACTCCCCCGCCCACCCCGAGGCCGACAGGGTTCAAATCCTGCCCTGAGCACCTTACACACCATTGCACGTCATTTCCAGGCCACCCCCACTGCGGAGGGACTACAGATACCCCCATTTTCCAGAGGTGGAAACTGAAGCTCAGAGAGGTAAGGGCACTTGCCCGGAGTCACACAGTAAGAATTCAGACCCACAGGAGGCTCCAAACCTATACTCTTGTGTAAGGAGCGGCCACGTCTGAGCTAAATAGTGGCGAGTAGAGCACAGGGTCCTTCACTAGCCGGGCTGCACAGTGGGTGGAGGTTAAAGGAAACTGTTTCAGCCAGAGAAGGCCAGGAGGGGCTTACTGAGACCATGGGACAAGATGCTCCCTAGCCGAATGTGTAATAGGAGACACCTGGCCTTACCTTCCGCTTCTCCCTCCCCCACTGCCCTATAAGAGAATAAACCTGGGACCTGCTCAAGGCCGGCCTTCTGCAGGGACGTACAAGTCCGCTCGATCCCGGCTTTTTCTGTGTGTGTTCTTTCCGAAATCCCCCCTCGCTCCTGCTTTGGGGGGTCCCCTCCCCCCTTGTTTGCTAGCAGGTCTCAGCATTCTTGGTTCCCGATGTAGGGAGGATGTAGACGGATTCCACGAGCTACCTAAGAACCCTGCGACACCACCGCGACGTGTGGGTACGTGCCCTGTTTTACATGATTATTTCACTGTATTTATCATGATTTTAAGTTGATAAGACAGGCACAGCCCCAAGGCGGCGGCAAGGGCTGTGACTAGCTACCTCCCTCCATGCCTGTCCCATCCCCTGGGCACCCCGAAGACTCACTGAGCGGAAGGCTGCAGACACCAGGTTGGAGGGGAAGATATTTCTGCAGAGACAGACATACAAGGGGTGTAATTAGGCTCTGGAGGGGAGGGCAGGGGGTGTCTGGGGGCTGGCTGCCTCTTGGGGAGGTGGGGGGAATTCGGCAGGGTAGGACCCAGGCTTGCAACAGCGTGTGGGGCTGTGCTAGGGTCTGATCTGGCCTCCTCTGGCCCTGGAAGGCTGGCTTTGTGGTCCAGAGGGACCGTGGGTTAGGGTGAGATTGCTGGCCTCCCCAAGCAGGCCAGGGCAGAGTCACCCAGCCTCAGCTCCACCCCAAGGAACAAACTTAATACTCAGCCGGCTTGCATCAGCCACTTCCTCCTGCAGGACAGGTCCGGGAGTGTGCGAGGATCTGGGTGTGTGAACTGGTGGTGAGAGGCCAGGAGAGGGAACTGGGGACCGCGGGGTGGCGGGAGGCCGTGAATACCCGTCTGTGTTCACAAGGCACCCTGTGTGACGATGTCTGTGTACCCTGAAACAGCAGCTAAGCCATCCTCCCTGTCTGCAATGGGTGCTTTACAGAAGTGAGCCCATTCCTCACAACAGCCCCCAGGGGAAGCCTGATTCCAGCATTTTACAGAGGAGAAACAGATGCAAACTGGCAAAGAAACCTCCCAGCTAGGAGCAGCGGTGATGAGGGGTTTTTGTGGGTTTTTTTTTTTTTTTT